TAGAATAGAATAGAATAGAATAGAATAGAATAGAATAGAATAGAATATTTCAGTGGGAAGGGATCTACAGTGACCATTTGGTTCAACTGCCAGGCCAATTCAGGGCTGACCAAAAGTTAAAGCACGTCATTAAGGTCGTTGACCTTAATAAAACACTGACAGGTTTGGGGCATTAACCACTTTTCTAGGAAGCCTATTCCAGTGTTTGACCACTCTGCAAGTGAAGAAACATTTCCGTTCTGAACCTCCTCTGGAACAGCTTTGAAAATAATAAACTACAGGAATGGAGAGAAAGAGAGAGAGAGAGAGTGGGAGAGAGAGAGAGGGATAAAGCAGAGAGAAAGTGATCATGTTACAACCAGCCCACAAAGCCAGAAAAACTTTCATCTTCTCTTTTACTCAGCAATATCTGGGAACCTAAGAAAGCAATTGCTTTTGTCTTCAAAACAAGATCTCTCTAGTGTTACCTGGCTGTTAGCGACATTAGTTTGAACAGAAATGAACTGTACATCATAAATATTTCATAATTAGTTAAAGGGGATTTAAATGGTTAAACATGGCAAGTGGTTTGCCATTTAACATGGCAAGTGTTTTTCTAAAGGGTTAAGTAGATGAACCTAGGCACATCTTTCTTTCTAGGAAAGATGTTTGGATTTAGGCAGTCATTGTCCTCCACAGCTGGAAGAGATTACAGTCAGCGAACTCAAGCAAGCTCATACTACAATGCACAGGCTGCGTGTATACACCAGTCTTTAGGCCAAGAATTAAGTCTTGGAGATCACTTTAGGTCAACTACTCAAGACCTTCTTTTCAAGTCATTTTGATTTCACAGATCTTTGGGCAGCAGGTTCCACCAGCCACACCCCTAATTTTCTACTGATCGCTTGTTTTATTGTGCAGTAGTGAAATAGAAGTTCAAATTTTGCAGGTATTACCTTCAGCAGATAACTTTTTCCTATGGTTTTCAAGGCAACTGGCCAAGTCTGTTCCATCAGCAGACTGTCTGATACACTGGCCTATATTTAAAAGGGCATCTCAAGGAACATAGGTTGTAATTTTCATTTTCCCTGCTGTTCCTCCAACATGGATGCCACAACAATATAAATTTCCCTAGACTCTTTCATAGTCCTTCCAAAACTGAGTTACTTAGATCTTGGTTTTCGTAGAACATATTTTTCGGCTAGTGCAGTTTTCAGTTCACTCAGACTCAGAATTCAGCCTTCTGAGATTTTCACATTCTTCTGGATTGGCTTAGTATGGCATGAGCAGCAAGGGATTACCTACCCTTCTTGTGTCAGTTCCTGGCCAGTACTTAAGGAGACATAGTTGCCAGTCTTTTTCCCCAAACCCCCTGCTTTCTTAATTGAGGAGGGGGGAGAATACCACCACTTCTGATTCAGCTTTGTGGCAGTTCTGTACCCATTACCTTTGAATTCAGTGGAGCAACAGAAGGTAACTGTGGCAAATGCCCACCATCTAGTCCATCACAATGTCAGGTAGAAGCACTCCTTGCTGTCCCCTCATTTGTGTATTGCTTCATATGTTTGTCACTTCTAATTCTTTGAAGCATCCTTTTTCCTTTTTTTTCTTCCTCTCTCTACTTTTTTTCTTTTTTAATGAGAAATAGCCTCATAGAGTAAGACAAGAAATTCTGAAAGAAACATTAAAAACCAAATTAAAACAAATCTTGTAAATGGCTTGGTTTCTGGGTGGGATTTTTTTGTTTGTTTACATAAAAAAAATTAGGTTCCTGGCTTCATGACACAATAGAATATGGGTAGAGAAGGGAGAATAAAGCCACTTCTCTTTTTTTTAAAATGTAGTTTTATGCTTTAAAGAAGATGAAATGTCATTTATAGGAGCTGAGAATGCAACACAGATTTTGAATATAGGACTTCAAAAAGATTATCATTGGCTCACTTTGAAAGCAGTGATTTTCAATTTTCTTAGCTTTGCAGACCACCAACATGTTTCCCATGGAAATGTAGATTGTGTGTTCTGTTGACTGTCAGACTGGTTACTTTATTAGTCATCTCTCACAGACCTTTCATAGTAATGCAGGGTGTCCTGGGGTAACACTGGTAGCACAAGCTGAAATTCAAGTGCAAGAGTATGGCATTCTTCTGTCCTGTTCTATGGACACATGCAAAGCAAAATGTGTATGATCACATTACTGGGAGGCTGTGTAGTTCTAGACAAACATCATGGTAAAAACGAAGACACAAAAAAAATCCAACAAAACAAACAAACAAACAAAAACTGGGAAAAACAAGAGAAAGCACTCTTGGAGACTCTGATATTAAATGGTTAAGGGCTAAATTCCAGGACCCTTATGTCTGACGATGACCCATTGCTCTTTCTTCTGCATGTTCTAATGAAGTTCAGGCAGAAAGACGAAATTGACAGCAAGTTTTGACTGTGCCCAGCTAGTTATGTGGAGCTGAAGGGAAATGGAGTTGAATAGTACGTTCCAATTCTACCTCTGGGTTATGTTGAACTATGCCAACTGAGGAATAGAAGAATTGCCCTAACTAGAGCAGACCCATGATCCACCTACTTCTGTCTTCAACAGTGCAAAGTACCAGAGGTTTCAGTGCAGGGAAGAAGAAAGGTTTCAGAAGAGGGCTAAACAGTAACCTAGACTCAGGGAAGAGCCAGGTGCTCTCAGACAAGGATAGGGATGGGTTGTATCACTTGTCTAACTCCTGTTTTTCTTTTACATGTGCTATACAGGAAGTTAGAGAGATAATCCAAGACTTAAGAGACAAGCCAGAACTGAAAATGCAGGTTCTGTTCCCTGCTTGATCATAAGGATCACGTGTGACCTCAGACATACCACTGCTGTGTGGGACATAGTATATAAATGTGTGTAAATGTGCTAAAAATGGGAACTGGGATAGGCAATACTCCCATACCTCATATCATGGCTGTGTGTATGCATGTAGGATGGATGGCTAAGTGATTTGATGCTACAGTAACTGATGCCACAGCAGTAGAGGGGCAAACCAATAACGATAAGCTAGGGTTTACCTACTATGCTTGGTGAAGGGACATATTAGGTCCCTATTTCTAGGGTAGTTAACCCTAGAAATGCCTAAGTTTGGTCTCCTTCCCTTTGCAGAGAGAACAGGTTTCCAGCTGAGACCAGCTGCAGGACTGCTGTCTGCTCGTGACTTCCTTGCCAGCCTGGCATTTCGTGTCTTCCCGTGCACACGAAGGCATTTCTCTTCTCCTATGCATTCCCCGGAACCGTAAGTTTGATGCCCTGGAGTAATCCTGTCTTTCTGAATGTGTTGGGGATCATTCTCTTGGGAATGGCCCTGGAGCTCTATCCAGTAGTCCACAGAATGAAACAATTTAGGAAACTGGTAGCTGGAGAGTTAGAAGTGGAAGTCATGCATGAGAGGGTGTGGTTCTCTGTCCCTCTTGCAAAGTTGTCTGGGGAAGGAAAAGACTGGAGAATATCTGGTTTAATCTTTTCATCCTGCCTTCAGTTACCATCTGCTGGGGTTTGATTTCCTGCTGTGAAACTCTCCCAGTAAGTGCTGGCCAGACAACAGCAATAACATTTCATGAGAAATTACAAGTTCACACAGACGCTTTTTTTGTATCCTGGGACAAAACAGGGGCCTTTCAAAGATGTTGTGACATAGAAGGTTGGTGTCCATGCCATCCCAAGTGAGACAATAGACAAGGTAGCAGGGGGCAGCTGGCTTCCCATGGCAGAAGGGAATGTTCTGTCACACTCCTTGTAGAGCCAGGACAGGTATGGGGGCATCCACTGTGGAGCAGCTCTTGTACTGGCTCCCCTTGGGGTCCGTTGGCTGAAGTTCTTCATGGAAAGTTAATGAAGGGCAGAAAAAGAAGCCTTTAACAGACATGAAGGTCACTTATTTTTCAGAGACTGTTGCCATGAGTTGCTGGGTCATGTTCCCATGCTAGCTGACAAGGAGTTTGCCCAGTTCTCACAGGTAAGAAGCTTGTTCTGCTGACTGTTTAAGCAACTGCTCTGGATAGCAGGCCAAATGTGCCTTAAATACATGCAGCTTACCATAAAATGTAATTTTAAGACTGGATTGTCCCTGAATCACAACCTCCAGGGGTGGTGGGCTTAGCAGCACTCTGGGAGACATTTACTCCAAGGGAGTGGTAGCGCTGCTCCCTACGGACACGGTGTAAAAGGAAGGGCAGGGAGTGCTTGTGGGACTTCTCTGTGTGGGAGGGCTGTGTCAGTCTGGAGAAGGATGTCTCTGTGGTGCTGGTGGTGGAGCTTTACTGACAATGTTGCTCTCCTGGCTTCCTGTCCTGCACCACATGAACCTAAACAGCAACAGCCGCTGAGCCCCCAAGCTGGTTCTGTCTCTGGATATATGTTTTTATCTCACATGAGACTTTAATTGTGTCCATCACCACGTCATTCATCAGAGCACTTTTTCCTTTTACGACTCACCAGATTCTCACAGCATTGCTCACAGTGAAGAGGAGGCTTCAAAAAGCAAACCGAGCTTATTTGTACAATAATACAAGGGAGTATTTAGTATGAGGAGTCAGTGTCAGACCCAAGTGAACTCAACAACCTCACATAATTAAAGACTTCAGAACTATGAATGTTGCTCAAAACCATAACAGAGGGAAGAAGGTAACTCATTGTCCAGGCTTATCAATCAGTGGCTAGTGTGGAAACTGGAAATAAGATCAGAGGGGTAACATGATGAAGGTTCCTGTCAGAATATTTTGAAAAGAAAATCAGTTCAACTCATATAATGTGGTTTTTCCAGTTGTATCAACTTGAATACATGGCAGTTACCCTTTTGATCATGGATATTGGTTATTATCAGAATCAGAGGAGTAGTGCTTTAAATATCCTAGTCCTCTATAATTTATTCTGGAAGAAACCTCTCCAGTTTAGTTCAATACCAGAACTCAAGACACATTAGAAATAAAAGTTTATAGCAATTTCACAGCTTTCAGTTTTCTTCTTTTCCCATCAATAACACAGACTATACAACATGGGATCCCATTAAGTGAATTTTCACATTTCACTTTATTTTTCCCACAAAGTGTTTTCACAGTTGAAATTCACTCCATGAAAATTCTTTTTTGTTGCATTCAACATGAGATGATGAATGGCAAAAGTGCCCTAATTTTGTTTGTTTGCTGCATGATATGGCTTCTGAGACAGCAGAAAAGAGACAGGAGGCACAGATGAAAGTAAATAGAACCCTCCCTGCACAGATCTGACCCACTCATAAGGGCTCTCAGAAGGTGTGAGAGACAGAAAGGTAATGGCAAAGATAAAACCCACCTTGCTGTCCTTCCTTCTCTTGCCTCTCTATAAATCTCTGTCTGAGATAGACAGTCCAGAATTAAGCCAAGAGATGGTTAATTTTACACAGAGAACACTGAGGATTAAACGCTCATCTAATGTGGCTCCCAGTGGTATGTAGCTGGGGGCCAGGGAGAGGTAGGCATCCTGGAAGCCGTAGAAGGTCATTTTGGGTGACAAAAACAATGAATAGTTCATGCTATTCATGCTAGAAATGATGTGGTCCTCCCCCTTCCCCTCTTTCTCTCCCTTGGGCTGAATAATCACACTAGTGTAACCCTGCCTGCTTGCTTACTTGCTTTAGGATATTGGACTGGCTTCTCTTGGATCATCTGAAGTGGAGATTGAGAAACTGGCCACAGTAAGTACAGATGGCAGTTTAATATTGGAGACAAACCCCAAACGATTCGCTGCATATCCCTTACTGCGCAGGGAAGGCTCTTCTTGTGTCTCAGGTTAACTACATAATGGAAGCATCAGCAGGATTGTCTCCTCCTCCTCCTCCACAGGTTAGGAAGGTTCTGGAGCAGAGACTGGAGTCCCTCTGGGGGAGCCCAGAAGCATGTAATTCCACCTGAGAATACACTTACACTTCTCGATTTTATAAGAACATATTTCTTAAGCTGAGTTTTTACAATTTCAGCCACAGGATGATCCCAACTCACTTTCCAGATTTACCCAATAGATTAGATATCAAATGTCATACCTGAATTTTCTCCTACACAAGGTGCAGAGAACCATCAGAATTTGATTCACCTCATATTCATTAACCTCACAAAATAGGTGAGCACTTAACAGCAATTTGAGAGTAGGTACTGTCATTCCATTCTGAGTCACTATACATCTGTCAAAACAACTCATGAAGTCCTTTACTGATATTTTAACTTGTTCTGAAAGTCCTCTGGAGGCCGGTGATTTTTTTCGAATAATGACATCCATTTGCCAGTCTTGATGACTTTTTCAGAGGAGGAATGGAGCCTTGCTGTCACCCACCTGGGTGAGATTCATTTAGAAAAGGTAGTGGATGGGAGGAAACTGTAACTCCTGAAATTCCTCTCCCAGCCCACAGCCCCACTCAGGAAGGAGGTTGTGGTTCACCTAAAATCCATCTGCACAAAACCATCCTTAGGTCAGGACTAGGTAAGACTAGCCTTATTTTTAGAATTTGAAGAGCAAAAGGTGCCAGTGCTGAATTTTTCATAACATCATACAGGTCCTGGGCTGGTGATGTGAGGGCACTATGACAGTGACAGTTCACATTTCCGCTGCAATTTCCACTCTCTGGGTCTAGAAAGGCTAGAGTGAGATTAAGGTCCATACCTTTGCTAGGGTGAAAAGAATTATGAGTCCCAGAGAGCTATTTTGCATTGTTACCCAGGTCTTGGTGAGATTGGGTTAAGGCTGGTGGCTTATAAAGCATTTCCCTGCAAGCATCCCTCACTGATCCTGGACTGAATAGGAATAGATTAGAGATAGGATTTAGATTAGAAGAATAATGGGTCTCGTATCTGAAATTGTCATAGTATCTTCTAGGGTTTGAGGAGGTAGAATAAGGGCATCTTTTTGAAAGGGCTACCTGCAGTTCAGAGTCTGTGAGAATACAACTTTGTGTCATTTAAGTATTCTGAAAAGTAAATATATTCTGGACTAACATCTCAATGTTTAAAATTTATACATCTGATGTAGGCTCACTGTTTGAGTTTCCTTTTCTAGAAAGTGGAGATAGAGAAGAATCTAGTGTATTCATTACCCTGACATAAAATCTAATGTGAATTCTCTGATTATCTCTGGAAGTCCCTGTCATTCTCTGTTCATTATAAAGAGAATGTAGGCAACTAGCTTAGATGCTATGACAACATTTAAGATAAAAGTTCCTTTAAAGAATGTCAACTTTGCTTGTTGCTACGGTCTATAATATTTGTAACACAAACTTTGAAATGCCATTATTTCATTCAGCCCCGTGACTTCACTATGCAGGTGGATCCATGCACCAGAGATGAGAAACTGCCAGTGTTCATGTCATCCACAGAGTGCCGCTAGCACCATTTCTTGTAGCCTGTTAAAACAGTGAGAGCTGAAAGAACCTCACTAACTGGAATTCAAATACAGGATATCTAAAGAAACAGTAAAAAAAAAATTCCTCCTCCTCCTATGTCTCATTCGGCAGTCAAAAAGGCCTCCTGCGAAATGAGTAGATACTCAAAAGACTTTTGCTGTGAAATAATAAGAATCAACATTATTAACACAATAAAAATGCGTAATTATTAGCTGAACTGTAGAGAAAACAGCTCGGGATTCTGCAAAAAGAAAGATTCTAGCATGTTGTTTCTTTAATGATAAATTTTCAGGCTAAAAGCAAGTCATCAAAATTAAAAGGTATATGAAAAAGGGTGGGAGAAAGAAAGAGTACGTAAGATGAAGAATAGACAATAATATGAAGTTTCACGTTATTTTACAAATTCTCTGCAGTTCTTTAAACAGGGTCCTGAGAATGCAGTACTTATGGCTAATCTGAAGCCAAGGTCTATCCCTGTGTATGAGGTAGCAAAGTGCTGTGTGTTTCTAAAGGAACCTTGAAGAGTTGGGATACAAAGCCATATTCTTGAAATGCCTCATTTACCATGTGTCCAGAATTGTCTGTTTCCTTAAATGTTATAATAAGGGAAAGACTAAAAGTTTGGCAGAGCCAAGAGTTGTTTTTATCCCACTGCTGTCCAGCAGGTAAAGGAAGTATGGTCCTAAGCATGCTTTATCAGAAGAAAGGCCCAGAGAAATGTATCTTTATTTTCTACTGGAGCATGACAAAGATGTAATTGGCGTAATCTTGAAGGGTACTTTGCCATCCTTTTCTTTTTTTTTGGAAGTGTAACAAGTTCTGAAAACATAGGTGTAACATTTAGTGTGTTTTATATGTTAAGAGAAAAATAATTTTCCTAGAATATACAACTATAAAATTCAAAGATACAAATATACTAAAGAATAAGGATAAAGGATAATTAAAGGAAAAATGAAAAGCTTAAAAATCCCTCCTTTTTCAAACTGTTTTTCACAAGCTGTTCTTATTCCCAGCTCTATTGGTTCACTGTGGAGTTTGGTCTCTGCAAGCAAAATGGATTGATCAAAGCTTACGGGGCAGGACTGCTTTCGTCTTATGGGGAGCTTATGGTATGTGTCAAATGCAAAGTGTTGAAAGATTTATATAATCCAGTTTTCTGAAGTCTCTGGTAAAAGCAAATTATGTTCTTCTGCATAAATTGGTACAATTTATAATTCAGATTTTTCTTTTGCGAAGAAATTAATTCTCCTTTCCCAGAAGCTACTGAGTAGAGGAAAAACTACTGTGGTAATGTACCTGTCTTCCATCTAGAAATGAAATGCAATGAAAGCAACCATCCTTTAAAATATTAGATCTGTAGTAATGCAGTTGACTTTAACATAAAACTCACGTACCTTTCTGAATTACTCACTAGAGGGCAATATTATGCCTACTATGAACTCAGCTGTTTCATCCATGCCATTGACATTCACAGAGATATGAACCAGAAAGGCACTGACTGACTGGACCAAATAAAGTGCAAAGAAACTGTAAATAGCATGGACACTTACAAAAAGAAAATGCTTTAATATTTTACATTCCTAAATAAATTTCAAAACTAATTTCAGCTCTAGTTTTACAGAGATGAAAATCTGTGTACACAGGTTTGATAACACCCTGCTTGGACAGATTAGCTGTGGAAAGAGGAACTGTACACCTTTACAGAAAGTTTATGGATTTCCCTTCCTTTGGACAAACAGCTGATAGGAGAGATATTAACTTAGTTTTGCAGAGCACTGAAGCAGGTAATGATTTTGTAATTACAAAAGCTCTAAACTGGTATCAGCAGGTCTCAACTGCTTCAGGTTGTGCAGGCACAGGATGATTTTTTGAAATTTGACGAGAGCCAAAGGAAAATAAATAAGACTCTTTTCAAGCATTTTTATAAACCAGAAATTTTTTTTTTTTTTTTTATGGGAGATATATCTTAAGCTTAACACATAAACCAGCAGCCTAACAGGGCTACATTCACATGGAACCATTGCTGAATTAGCATAGCTTGAACTCCCATAACTGGAGATCGTTGGATTGTTATGACAATAAACATATTGCAAAACTGTCCTAATGGTGTACAGTCAGCCCACTTCCCGTGTCAATTCAAGACATTTAAAGTAGGAGTCCCAACAGAGGGGCAGCTGAAATTAACACAAAGGGGAACCCTTCCAGATATCAACCGTCATTTTACCACTTGCTGAGTTTAACATTGGTTTTCTCCCAACACTTGCAATTTGGTGATTTTTGTGAGCAAAATCTGTAGAGAGCTTTCTCTCTTGAAAAGCTGAGAGATCTGCATGCTCATTAGCCCTCTAGAAAAATAAACATGACTTCCTTTCTACATAGCAGCCTGATCTTGTCCTGATTGCTCATGAACTTCAGTGTGCTAGCACTACTGTAGCAGGCATCTGTAGAACGATGAAGTGTATTGCTTTGAAACAGCAGATCAATAAGATCCCCTACCAATTAGGCTCCAGTGCAATGCATTTTGTTTACATGTCTATCTGTTCTAGGATAAGGCTGAAGTTACGGTTTATTTGAGAATCCTTCAGTTCTTGCTATTTTCACTGCCAACAAACAGGAAATATAAACTTGCATTTATTTACCTGGTAAAACCATAAAGATCCAGTGTAAAAGCACAATTCAATGCAACATTTATTATAATCTGCTTATCTTAATATTTTATAGTTTTAATTCAAATTTATTTACATGTTAAACAGGGTACTAAAGGGTGCAGGTAATCTTATTGCTGATACTTATGTAGCTTTCATAGCAATATGCACCCCAGAATCTATCTGCATGAAGTTGCCTCTTTTTTCCTGTTTAATTTTGACACAGATGAAGGTAAAAAAGTCTCATCATAAAATGCTCGCTTTTGGAGAGTCTGGATTTCAGTGCACCAGATTTGTGCTCTCTCCCCTCTTTTTCCATCCTTTTCTTCCCCAGACACCAACAAGCTCTTCTGCTTTTGATTAAAGCAGTGGGCAAGAACTGCTTGTGCACAAAACTGTGCTATATAACACAAAACTACAACTGCATCTCGAACTCCCTACCTCTGAGGCTGACAATGGAAGTCATAACTATCCTTGAGTTGATAAATGGCAGTTTCTTTTCATTACTTGTATCATCAGTAGTTGTTGGGTAAAGCTACTGGATAAACTTTTGATAAAGCTGGGTCCACCTGGGTCTTCATCCATCGTATTACTGAAAGTACATGCAGATGTGATGGCATTTATATTCAATATGTAATGAAGAAGAATTATCCCCCTTCCAACAATGTGTTCATCTTATACATAACACCTAATTCTGAAGATGGGCAAGTAGTTAACCAGCAATGCTCTTATGCACCCTGTGCAATCCCCGTGTGAGCTCTGCAAGTTCATCACTGTGTAGCTTCTGGGACAATGTCTTAGTGGTTCTGTGCACTTCACCTTGAGCATCTGAAACTTTTTATGTACAAGTTAATTATAACCATGGCTTTAGGTGCTGAAGTTTCCTTCTGTGGCTGACTGATTCATCTTTTTATTTAGAACCAAGCTGAAATATAGAAATATTTCCATTTCATCCCCGCATTCTGCATAAGTATCTGATTCTAACTTCAGTATAGACAGTGGCAGTGTGAGTAAAGCGGTGAGGTCCTATGCCTAAGCACCTGCTAGCAACTTGCAAATGTATACCAACTGTTTCTTTTACGGCTGAAGAGAGGAAATATGTGTAGTACAGTATCTATTCCTAGAAGGTGGTTTTTTTTTTTTTAGAAATAAAGCAGAGCCTAGACAGATCTGTTTGAGAAGATGAAGACTGGACGATAGCGAGGCTCGTGATAGACTTCAGTTTCTTGCAAAACACAGTTTGCAGTTTTAGACTGGCACTTGAGAAAGCTCTAGATAAGTTTCGTTGCTGCTTGGGAGAAAGCCATTATCCATGCTAAAAATTATCTGCCACTCTTCTCAGCATGGGCCCAGAGGTGGGCTTCTGCATGGAGTTCCCAGACTTGATTCCCTATCATTCAGCTGATCAACATATTTGGCACAGGCAGTGAAGTTTTTGGCACTTTGTTGGCAGTGAATATAGCAAGTACTGTAGGATTATCACTGCAGGTCATGTGTTGGAGGAGATACACTGCATCAGCCTGTGCAAAGGAGGGTTTTTGTCATCACTGAAGGCTTCTAGACCAGGAAGACAGGATGATTTGGTCCTTGAGGAGGCAATAAGGGCAGGAGTTACTAAGGTTAAATGGTTAGCTACAAGAAGAGAACACCTAAGCAGCTGGAGAGGGTGAGCACCAGTACATCCAGCTAATGTGGTATGAGAACTTAGCATCACCAAGAAGCCTGGGAACATCCCTGAACTGCAGCCTGGACTGACTCTCTGTGGGTGTGTGACTGCAACCCAGGGAACCACATCCTGACTATGAAATCTTCAAAACATTTCCCTTTGCTCCACAGCATATGCTCTCAGCAGTTGAAACTCAGCTTCAGGTAGATATTTGCTTTGGATGAACTGATCCTGCCCAAACTCAGGGCAAAACTTGGGGGAAAGGCAGAGAATGAGAGGAAGAGCTAGACAATATCTGCGTGAGTCTTGCACTTGAATCCCTGATATCTAACAAATGATTTGGTAACAGCAGCTATGTATCAGAGGGATAACCATACCCAAGTCTAAACTGAACAGTTGTAATGGGTCTGACTGCTGGCCAAACTTGCCTCCTCTGAACTGTAAGAATTCCTCCCTGACAGCTCTCAGTATTGCACTGTTTATTTCACTATATTCTGTCAGCTGTTCTACATTATCCAAAATGCTTCTTCTGTTAACACTCAGCTGGACTCTGTCCTACATACTGTAAAATCTTATGGCTCATACCACACTTCTGGCAACACTCAGTGCTACATATGCTTTTCTTGCGGCACAACTAGTACTTAACTTTTAGAGGCCTTTAAGGCCATCCAGTTTCAAGCTGAACTTCCACTTAAATCAATGGGATTTCAGTTCTGCCTCAACACTGACAGCATAGCGGGACCCCTGTCAGGTTTTGAGTTTCTGAAATCTTTTCCCATTAGTCCCCAGAGCTTCTAAGATTCTAAGAGCAGCCTCATGTTTGTGTATACACCAACCACCTTAGATTGTATGAGTGCTCTCCAAAGTTTATTCTTCAATTACACACTGAAATGAAGAGCAAGAAAAACACCATCTTTTAGCATTTTATATTATTGTTCTTTTTTTTTTTCCTTTAAAGCCATGTATGTATTTCTGCACCAGTTCTGCAGCACATTGGTCTCCTGGTTAAGGCAGGCCTCCAGTGATGGAGAGTTCAGACTCAGTTCAGTGAAATATCAAAAAATGCGCTTAAGGATACTGTCTGAATTTTTTCAGTTAGTAGACTGAACTGAAAGTCTTCTGCTGTGTCATTTACTCTTACCAGTTATTTACAAGTACCATAAGAGTTGGCATTTGGATTATAAAATAGCGAAGGGAGCCTTCTAAAGGCTGAGGAAGGAGAGAGAAAGGCAAAGAGGCAGATATCAAAGAAGGGGTAGGTACTAAAAGACTGTCCCTAGGTGGATGGGACAGTCTGAAGGTGGATAAAATGGTTTTAACATTGACTGAGATGGGTTGCCTTTTTCCTTTTTGTTTGCACCCAGGACACTTCACCAAAGTGTCTGTGGGACACCAACCTGGCCAACTGGAGGCACAACCAGCTTTCAGGCACATCTGTGATGCAGTTCAAATGTCACTAGAGCTGAGCCAGATTTAAAGCACCTCATTTGGGTTTCAGGGGCAGATAAACTGTCTAGGAACTCACTTTAAGCCTGACCTGTGTTGCCTTCCTAGGACTCTGTGATGGTACTAAACTGGTGTCTGGTTTAAAGGTATCTCCAGTATATGTAAACAAATGATAAAGATGTGCCTATGGACTGCAGTGTGGACAGAAGTGGCTTCCATAATCCTCCTGTTTGCCTGAGGGACAATGTAAAAGAACTTGAGAAGAACATATAAAAGAACCTCTGTGGGTCCAAAGACACAAACACGCACACACAGAGGATACTGCTTATCTATATTTTGGGCTTCAAGGAAGATTTTAGACTGCTATACTGACCTAGGAACTGTGCATAAAATACAGAAGCATTGTATCTGTTCTTCAGTGCAGGAAATGTGAGATTTATGACATGGGCAAGGGGGCTTTGAAGTACTGCTGCACAGGACTGGGAATCTTCTATGATACTAGTTGAAGAAAAGTAGCATGATATTATTTTCTTCCAGATATTTATATTTTGCTAAGTGTCATAGACTTTCCCTTCCATGTCTGACAACATGGCTCTGGTATCCAGTAGTCCATCAATATAATATAGGAAATATATATTTCTTTTTTTTAAATTTTTTTTTAATATTTATTATTTGGTTTATTAATTGCTAATTATGAAAATCAGCTTTGACATGTGAAAGAACAGGACTTGATATTACAAAGAGAATTTCACAGTCCAGCAGGGACTAATTCTTTCTCTATTCATTCACCTGCTCTAACCTGTGTTGTTCCTGCTATAAAGTATGCTTTGTCAAACAAGCCAGAGTACAAGCCTTTTGATCCAGAAGTGACTGCAGTTCACCCCTATCAGGATCAAGCTTTCCAGCCTGTCTATTTCATAGCAGAAAATTTTGAAGATGCCAAGGTCAAGCTTCAGTAAGTAAAGTGATTGTGGGTATTTTCATTGAGGGGGTCACACTGGCTTGAGTCTTAATCTCAAATACATCTACTGCTATTGCAATAACCATGCCAGGCTAACTCATTGCATCTGCTTAATGGCTTTTTAACAACAAAATTAAATATGAGCTTGTTTGTCTCAGAAAAGCTTCATAAAAATTCAGAATTATATCTTGCTATGCCCTGTCCCATGCTTAATCTTAACAATGCTTCATTTTAGCAACTTCTTAAGTAAAGTCTGTAACTAATAGTGAGAGTGCAGTCCCACCCTATGTGCTAGTCCATACAAATAGGGGGCCATGAAGAACTGATTTACCCAAGGTCACACAGAAATTTTATAGCAGTCTCAGGAATTAACATGGATCAGCAGGGGGCTTAAAAACAAGATTGCTTTTCTCCTCCGATTATATCTGCACAAGAATGCAGAATCAGCATTCACAGGCAATATAATTTCTACACAGTAGCTGACTGCAATCCAAATGACATTATTTCAAATTAGCTTGAGGTGTTTCTGAACATATTTCTTTAACTGTGTTATGTTATGCAGTAAGGATTTTTTTTCTTTTCTTTTTTATTTTTTTTTTTTTAAATTAAGCAGAGTTTAAATTCTGGCCTTCATCTCCAACAGTTAGAACAACATGACCAATTCTGGCTGGAGGCTGATTGTAGAGCTACTGGGGAGCATGTAGGAGCTGAAATGAGGAGTTTATTAGAAGAAGAGAACCTGAGCCAGACTTCTTCCCTACTGTCCCTGTCTCTTCCCCAGAAACACTGTCTGCTGGGGCTATAGCAATGGCTAATTAGGCTCCTCATCTTAAATCTGAATGTTCACATGAAATTTTTAATATGTGTAAAAACGTAGGTGAGAACTTACTGGCAGAAGAGAGAGGACTTGCAGAGCATTTGACTCAGGCAAACCTGAAAAGAACATATGAGGACAAGGAATACACCATTCTCAGACTTGAAGCTTTTTAATACATTTTTTCAAGACAGTTGCACAGCCAAAGCTGCTCAAAATAACCAAAGGCACAAGAATCTGTCAGCACGGAAAACATATGGCAACATCAGTACAGGGGGTTCCTACCAGCGTGTACTTAATGGAAATATTGTCAAAAATGGCAAGCAATCATGTTTTTTTCTTTTAATAGAGACAGAAAAATAGAGGATGCCTAGTATCAACAGGTTTTTAGAATTTTATGCAGAAAGAGCTACTCAAGGTTATTTCTTGGAAGTGAAGGCGGCAGACATGCTGTGCTCCTGCATTCCTCAGCTTGTGGTTGTAATAACTCTGAATTGTGTTAGTGTAGATCTGTGAGAGCACAGACGGGTCTAAGCCAGCCACACTGAAAAGAAGGCACTGCAGATCTTCAGGGCTGCAAGTAGTTCAGTCATGGGGAGAATGTACTGCACCAGACAGCATTAAAGAGTATCGGTGAGGACGTGTCAGAGCAGCCTCTGCTCCCCGATAAGTCCATGACCACATAGTGAGAAATTAGGTCCTGCAGGTTTTACACTTAAGGAAGTGCCTTTTGAACTAGAAGCTCTGTCTTCTTCCCCCACAGAAACTACACAATGAAGATTAAGAAGCCTTTTGCTCTGTTCTATGACCCCTTCACCAACAGCATTGAGATTATGAACACACCACAGAAAGTCAAGAAGACACTCTGTCAGATGAAAGAGGAGCTAAAAAACCTCTGCTTGGCTCTTGAAAACATCTCTTAAAACTACAGCAGTTCATCTCACCTGTCACTGAGATACTTGAAGGTGGTTTCAGCACTTGAAGAGTCAGTGATGAAGCTGTAGTTGGATGCAAAAATCTTTAATGTGCAAACCAGCTCAGTTTATCTAATCTTTTCACCATAATTTAAGCTGCTGACTTAAACACATTAGTAAATTCCTATTTAGTATGTTTCAATGGCACAAAAGACCAAATTACTCCAATTTTTGGTAGGTGATATGAGCTACATCTGTTTGCAGTGTATTTATTTGTTATTGTACTTTATTGGATTTTTAATTCCCCTGCCACCTTTTCAAGTTATCTATCACAAAATAGCACAGTAACTTTTCATCCACACAGTCTTTTATTTTCTGCCTTCATGACATGATCACAACCTCTTAGGCTGGCTAGCTGCCTACAGTTAGCAGTCCTTGCAGCTAGCTCATTGCTGCTAGCAATTATTATCAACTATTGTGCCCACAAACTATGAATGGTTCCCTTACAATGTGCAAATACAAGACTTTGTAAGAGGAACACTTTACTCCTGCTCACTATTTATTTTTTAAAATACTCATTCAGTAGCCTTCAAATATGACAAAAAGATTTCCTGTTGCATTACAGATCACAGAATATTTGTACTTTGGCTAAAAGAAAAAGAAGAAAATAAAAGGCCCAAGATACTCTGGCTCTGTCACATACAAGGATGCTTAATTTGAATAAGAAATTTGAATTCTGAGGAGAAGATTTTTGTGTAAGGAAAGATTTGCAAAGAGGCCTTTAAGAAATATGTTTCTGTTGGTTTTTCATGGGATTAAGATTCTCCAGGATGCCTTTAAAAATCTTTGCTTCTTATTGATGTCATGATGATTGCGGTAATAATCAAAAGGCCAAATATATGGAACATCTAGTGGAAAACCTAAGATGAACCACTAGCAGCTGCATAGCCTTGCTATGGAACAAATATCTGATATGTGCTCCAATTCATCTTGTTTGCCTCTCCAGCCCCTCTCTGAGATGTTCCTGAAATTTATCTACAATCTGCAGGTCATGTTTCCTAGAATCAATCTAATAAGTGCCTATTCCAGAGTTTCGTGTTCTTCATGTCCCCTTCCTTCCTCTACTATTCACAAGTAGAAAGCTTAGGAAAAGAAGACGATGCTCAAGACAGGAAGGGTTCCCTCTCCTCTTAGCAGCAGTACAAAGAGATGGGGTCGATGCAGGCTACAGGTGTGGCATAAGCAGGCAAAATGTGGATCTCATGGCTCGAGCTAGGTGATAGCGATCCACGAATGTGATTCATCCTGTGCAGCTTAGAAGCTCTACTCATTTATTCAAAAGTGTGTTTAGCATGTGGCAGACAGCTACCCTGTCCACTGCTACCCACCAGCTACCAGCGTACAGGGTCTGAACTCTGAGGTAAATGTGAGGTGGTTTGGCTCTTGTGGAAAAGGAGTTATCATCCCTTCCTGAACTGGTCACTGTGGGATAGGAGCATGTACACAGACAGTCACAACAGAGCAATCCACATGCTGTTACTTCATGCAGAGCTTATCTCACTGTAATTTGTCCACGTGCCAGACTCTAAAGAAACTGTCTTATTGAAAGTTAATGGAATGCTGTCTCTTAAACCTTCATGTCTACAAGCACTTCAGTAAATTTTCCCATGGGTAGTAATACTCAAGATCTGGGGAGCTGTTGCAAATGCTCGATTTTATTAAAGTGTGGTGATGCCTGAAAAATTTGGAAGTATCTTGACAAAAATGGTTATGAGACCCCCTTTCTCTCAACAGCAAGAGCATCTCAAGCTTTTTTTTTTTTTCAAATCCAGGATTCTTCTATTCTATTCCAGAAGAACACTTGCATATCATAAACCCTGTTTTGCTAGAAATTCAGCCAAGGACAGAGCTGAAGTGAGTTCCTTTCCTTCCAGTATATTTCTGCTGTGATGGAGGATGATCTCTCAGCATGCTTTTATGGATTTAATTCTACTTATCCTGCTCATAAACACACACACACAAATACCATTTCTCCTCAGAGCAATTTGTTTCCTTACATATTGTAATAATTTATCTGTCTGCTTCCTGCCAATTGGTGCATAGGCAAAAATGTTTGATAGCTCACAACAGATTGTTTTCAGAAGTATTATTTTCATCAATCAGTCCTTTTACAGTGAAAATTGAATCATGTGCTCCAGTTCTGTATATTTTCTTTTTCTTTCTTTTTAAGTGGAAGATAATGCCAGAGCGGAAGAGCTATCAAAATATTTTCTATAGACGGATTCTGTAGGCCATAGGGTCTTTTTCATGTATTCCCTCTGAAATGGTTGAATGTGGAATTTAGACTTGAGTTTGGCTATTACTCAGAACAGACCTATATTTGGAAGAAATGAGAGACCTGATGGATTTGTTTTGCCCAAGGCCTCACACTTTCCTTGGAGGGACTCCAGGCCCGCCCACACACCCTTGTCTTTTCCAGTTCCTGTAGCAAGGAGAGAAAAAGAAGCCATTTGGAGCCAGATTCTCCCACCCTTACACACGCTGAGTAGTACCCAATCTCTCGAGCAATCCCAGTGACAGTACTGAGCCTGTCTAAGGTGCTGTACACAGACCACAAGAGCGGGATTATCAAAACCACTGTGAGTGTACTTGCATTTTTTATTGTCTTAGTGATAGTCAGCTGTCATACTCGAGTAGGGGAGGCTCCTCCAGTGAAACTTCGTGGAGCTGCAAAAGTAATGGATTTGGCTACTTGAACTTTTAAGATAAGTAAATGTTTTTCCAAAGGAGGTAAATCTTTCCCTCCTTCCTCAGGCAGAACCTACCCCAGGATACCCATGTTTGACACTCCCCTCTAAGAAGGTCCAAATTCTTTTCTTTTGATTCAATGTAGTGACAAAACAAAAGTCTTCAAGGTTACATCCTTGTGAGTTACACTACTCATTCTGCTCTTCCAATAGTCATTCTTTCACTTCCTCACAGAAGCCAAGAAGTACCTCATACTCCTGTCAGTCTAAGGCAGCAGTGATGGGAAAGGCAGCAATGGGGCCTCCCGATTAAAATAATGGCACAGAAGAAAAAGCACCAACCAGTAAAAATATGTCTTTTTGTCAGTTTGCATTTCAGCAGTTTCATATTAATCTTACACAAGAAGGTTCCAAAGCCAAGTAAAACACATCTTGTGACTTGAAACTGAACTGATGAACTCCCCATGGGTCCTTTGCTTATCCTGATAAACTTATTTTTCCTAGATGGAGTGCATTTAGAACAAAATAGTGTATGTTATTAAATCTGTACTGTGTTGTTCTGTTATACATGGGAGAGTTAGTAAATTCAGTTTGTGGGTTTGGGTTTGTTTTGTTTTTTGGTTAACCAAGTCTGTCCTCTACCAATTTTGGTCCACCTTCAAGTCTCCAGCTGCTTCACTGCTTCCCTGCAGATTTGCTAGGGATGCCAAGGGTACCACTGTGTAAGAAGAATACACAGTTATGCAATTTGGGGAATTTGGCAGGACAGGAAGAGGAAATTTAGGCTGGCCTCCCACCCACTCCCATGAGAAACAGTGTTGTATTACAATGCAGAGCTATCATCCTCAGAAAGACCTTCTCGATCACTTCCCTTTTGTTCCCTTAACATTTTGATCTTTATACTACCTGGTGAATGTAAACCTTATTTAACCACTTCAAGAAAGGCCAGCAGGGGGAGAAAAAAAAAAAGAAAAAAGACAAAGACCTTCCAAGAAAGAAAACTTCATTACCCTAAGTCTTCCTTATCTCTGATGATCTGTGAAGGAAGAAGAAAACAAATCAAAGCAAGCTTTCATGGAAATGATAGCATATTCCTGAAGAAACCTAAAACATTTAATTCTTCCATGTACAACCACACGCAACCTTACACCCATCACTCAAATGTCATCATTTACCCAGTAAATCATGACCATCAATTAGCCATGCATAGAAGTGTTACATGACTTCTTGAGTCAGGAAATGAAGCTACCAGGAAAAATCCTCCAGTAGCTTTGCCTTACACACATACTGCAAAAACATAAGGCTCTCTGAAGCCTGCTTCCGTAGATATCCTACAGCATGGAGAAATTCCAGTTGGCATAGAAACAGAGGGATACATACATACATTCCCGGTAATCTCACCCACCACTAATCAGGAGTTTATACATGGGCTTTGAGATTCAGTCAGAAGACATTACTTTGCAGCATTCTTCAGCTGGCGCATGATCAGAGGTTGGCAGAAAGGGTTACTGGCTGTAATGTATTAAATATACATTAAGTTTGGGTAATGCTGGTGGCTGAGGCCCAAAGTGAAAGCAAATCTCTGGCACCCTCTCCCACCACAAAAATTCCTCAGGGGAAAGAAAGACAGACTAGAAAAAGAGTCTGGCTGACAACTGGCAGAGCAAAGGGATGAGGAATCTAAAGCACCAGTGGATAGGCCTGAAACTTGTTTGCTTTGCATATGCTGTTTCATTATAATTGAGAAACGTTTCTGTCTGAAAGGGAGCTTTTTAGAGTAAAGGAGGAAATTTGGTACCTGTGAGAGCATGGAGGAGTTTAGATTAGTTAAGGTTTTTTAATCATACCTGAGGAGTGTTAGCCTTATCTAAGGCATTTACTTTCAACATGGGGTACAAAGCTTGGAAAGTAGAAAAGGCATCTTTGGAAAAGAGTTTTTTACATGGTGAGTGGAAAAGAACACACCAGAGAAGAGCAACAAGACTTGTGAAGGGTCTGGAACACATTTCTTGTGAGGAACCACCAGGGGAGCTGAGTTTATTTAGTCTAGAGAAGAGGAGGCTCAGGGGCACCTCATTGCTCTCTATAACTACCTGAAAGGAGGTTATAGCAAGATGGGGCCAGTCTCTTCTGCCGTGCCTGCAGTGAGAGGACAAGAGGAAATGGCCTTAAGCTGAGACAGGGAAGATTCGGATTAGATATTAGAAAAAAAATTTTCACTGCTAGGGTAGTCAGACATCAGAACAGGTTGCCCAAAGAGGTGGTGTTCAAGTGGCACCTGGATCTGGTGCTGAGTGATATGGTTTAGAAGTTACAGTGGTAATGCTGGGTGGGCCATTGGATTGAATGATCTTGAAGGTCTCTTCTAAACTTTACGATTTTATGATTCTATGAAAGCTGAAGCTGACCAGGCCTTGCTGCCTTGAGAGACGTAACAGTCCTAAATTTTGAGAAGGTTGCCTTAGGAAGGAAAAGTGAACAGCTGGCCAAGCACTGCCCCTCCAGACGAAATTTTACAGATGAAGACTGTAAAATTTTTATTCCTTGAACTGTATGCTAGGTGCTGTCTTTTACCCTAACTACTTTGTCAAAAGTTTTGTTTTTCCTTTAATTTAAAATTTTATCTATTGATCCCTTCGATTTGTGTTTGCAAATGGGGAAAATTAAGCCACTGAACAGGAGAAAGTTCAATATTATTTTCCCAGGGGGTTGGGTGAAACTTGAGCAACACATGGACACTTAATTTTAAACCTAGCCCTTGCTGAAGGCAATTAAGACCTGGCAAAATGGTTACACTTTGGTAAAAGAGGTGACAGCTACCATCTGATGTATCAAAACCAAACCTCTACTCCCATCCACAACCAGTGGTGTTAATCTTCAAGGTACATCTTTCACAATATTAAGTGAGATAGATTTAAACATAAACTACCGAATATAAAACATAGCACCTAACACTTGCCAGGTACAGTAACTAGAAGAATTCTTCGGTTTGGAAGTTGAGTGGCTGTTTTATAAAAATTTTAGATACCATTTACAATGATGTGGCTTATTTCAGCTGTCACTGTAGATGTGGAGTTTGAACATGGTGTGCAATAAAATAG